GATCAACTCCTCCATCAGGCCCTTTGACAAGTGGTCTCTGGGCAGGGAATTGTTCGATTCTCTAGACAAGGAACATGACATTGTCGATCGAGACTTCCGTCCCTTCGTAGAGGAGGCCGATCAGATGCAGGGCCTCCAGATCGTGACAACTATAGACGACGCCTGGGGAGGTTTCGCGACCGAGTATGTAGAGCGCCTGCGAGATGAGTATGGCAAGACTACAATTTGGGTGTGGGGTCTGCAGACTCCTGTACCCGCTGCCCGCATCGTAAGTTTCAAACTTCGTTTGCGCGCTCATTACACTCCTTAGCCTAGCTAATGATAACGCTAGGACCAAAGACGCCTCCAGCTCGCCAACACTGCAAGGGCAGTCAAGGACATGTGTGAGCACGCCTCGATGCTGGTTCCCATGGCTCTCCCCCAAGCACGGTTGAGCTCAAACATCAGCATCAACATGCAATCTCCTTGGCAAACCACGGCCTTGCTAAGTACGGCCATGGAAACAGCAGGGATCGCTTCCCGGCTCAACTCAACCAGCTCTGGCAGTGGTCTACAGGCGACGCTCGGCGAGCTGGTGAGTGGGTTGAATCTACGCGGCAGACAGACCATGAGCCGTCTGCAAATGACCGTCGTCGACCCAGCCTCGGAAACGAAACAAGACACCCGCGCACCAGAGTCAGGTTTGGATGATGACAAAGCTGGCGAGTTAACCAAGCTTGACACGGACTTGTTTGATATCCTCCGACCCAAGCCTACTCCTGGAAGAAGGAATATGAATGGCGGAGGCGGCAAGCCTCACCTTTTCGGGCAGACAATCACTACACGTGGCTCGCAGCAAGTCATGAAACACGACGAGGACGAGGGCGGCGATAGCCGGCAACGGCCAAGGGCTGCGCTCATAGAGACTAGTACACAAAGGTATGCCAGAAAAGACAACTACCGCTATCCTTCCAAAGGCTTGCTCGTAATTTGACAACTGACTCATGATGGCAGGTATCTCACCGATAGGGGCTTCCCTATGCTCGACAGTTTCCCCGAGATCTACCTCGACGGCAGCGGCAAGCCGTTGAGCGATTCGTTTGGCGTCAAGACCAGTCTTTCCACAGATACTTCAGTGTCTGCCGCGCTGAATGCCCTGCGCACTACCGTCGCGTCCTCTCTTGGCGTGGAGGACCGGGAAGACATTAGCAATGAGCTAGCCGACTTCGCCGAGGCGTATCGAGAAGGATGGTCAAGTGGTAGCGATGATGACGATGATTGAGGTAGCCTGAATCAGCTATAATCAATCTCGACCAATCAGTACGTCAAGCGAAACGGCTCGAGAATCGTGGAGACCTCAGATGGACAGAGAGGCACGGACACCTCTAGTCGCCTAGGCACCCACGAAGTCACAAGATATCAGAGCAAGGCAAGGGTAGAGATTGGGGACAAAGCATAGTCAATCCTCTAAATCGATGGTATCTAGTATACAACTGGCTTCGCCTTGACTCAATAGCCCTGCCCGTGTTTGCGTGAAGAAGCATAGAGAAATGAATTCGCCCTGCATTACAAAGCGTACGTGCCCCAAAGTGCATCCTCGTGGGCGACAGTAATGTTCCTGATGCTCTTTAGTAGTCTCCGCTCGTCTCAGGCCAGAACGAGCAACCTACCAAAGCCCACAAAACATACCGAGTATGTTGCTGCTTTTGCTTTTGCGATCTCCACCCAAAGTTGGGTTATGGAAGGGGGTCTTGCAGGTAAAGTGTGGATACACTGGCATCAGGGTAATGCCGGGTCGTCGATGGCTTTTTTTCTCTTTCAGTTCCCTTTCCCCCTTTCTTTTTTTGTGTCTATTTCGCTTTCTCTCTCTGAGTGTGTTATCCAGTGTTGGTACGGTATGAGACAGTCCGTGTTGTAGGACGTCAAACTCGAAGATGTGATTTGGCCTATTGGTCAGTGGATCAGAGGCAAAAGATGCTACCAATGCTGACAGTCTTTATTAGGGTCGATGGCGTGGGACACTTTGGTCCAAAGTCCATACTCAACCGGCAGCCGTGACAGAAGCTTGCTGGCGCTTGGCGGGTGGTTCTTGGTTTTCCTATACAACGTGTCAGCCATGCGCTTACCAAAGCTTCGCTAGTCTTGTGATGAGCCCTCAAGCGTAGCCGTGAACTAAACCAGTGCAGTACCTCTGAAGCACTCCTCTTCTTGATCTGAGCCGCGCCGTTCGCGTTCGGGATGACACGCTTCTTCTGAGGCTTCTGAGGCTTCGTTTCGTTGGCTTCAAAGACATCGTCGGGAAGGTTGAAGCTGTCCTGAACTTAGCAAATGCCACCAAAGAAAATATGCCCGTATCGCCTACCTCCGCACGTGCTGAACATTCAACGAGTTGAGAACCGCGTCGTACTTTTCCCACTGTGTACATAAGGTCTTGAAATTCTCGACTTGATAGGATAGATCAAGTGATTTCGCGCCTAAACAGTTAGCTGCCATGCCACTTTGACCCAGACTGAAAGGTGAAGCCCGATTTTTGAACTCGTTTTCGTTAGCGGCAGCAGACTTACCTTCGCTCAGGGTCAGCCCGATGTAGTGCGTGGTGGTAAAGACGTCGGTATAAGGGTTATGCTTCGGGATCTGATTGGGAGCTTTGGAATTCTCGTCTTCCGACTTGACTCCTTCCGTCTTCAGACCTGGCTGTGTCTCATTTTCTTCAGTCTTGAGCCCATGTACGTTGTCAGTGGGTTCCGTCTTGAGCCCTGGGATGCCGCTCATGTCGGGCTTCGTTTCAATCGGCTCAACCTTTTCGACCTTCGTCTCTTGCTCAAAGTACTCTTGTTTGACGTCGCTATCCTTTGCTAGGAACGAGAAACTGCCAGCTTGAACCTGGGAAACTTCTGCGTCGTTCGCACACCTGTGCCGACGCTCGTAACCTTTGTTGAATGCATGGGCCAAAGCTATCGATTGGTGCTGTTCCAAGCCTTGAACCAAAACACGGACCTTGGATTCCACATAGCCTGACCAGATCTTGTGTGCTTCTTTGTCTGTGCTAGCAGTGATGACAGAGATATAATACTTGTACCCCTTGGTGAAGAAAGTATGCTTGACAAACAGATCGCTCCAGGGGCTTTTGCCTAACATGATGTTGTCGGTAATGTCGCATCCTCTGCTGAGCTCTTGCTGGATGACAGTCATGGCTGACCGGGTAATGTTGTACGTGGCGCACATGGAAGGGTAGGCCGGGGTAATTACAGGCATCAGATGAAATTGATCGCCCTTGTATAGCTATACTTTGATTAGCACATATGAAGCTAGGGCCAGGGAAGTAGGGAAAGCAAACCTTCGGATTCCAAACGCGGACCTGCAAAGGGCCGCCTTCAACGTGCTTCAGAAGGACGGGCTGTGGCCATGGCCAGCGGCGCATGATGTGGAAGAATTTGTTGACGATGACGGAGCTCGCGGCTTTGGGGTATAGTTGGCAGACGCGAGCAACCAGCATGGCCCAGGCCACGCCACCAGGAAATCCCATGATGTTTGCGTAGATGGCCCGACGCTGCGCCCAAAGCTTGATGGCACGCAAGGCCAACTTGAAGGTGCTTTCCTCGGGAACCAAGCTGAGAATCTCATCTGTAACCCGTGTGCCATTGAGCGACCGAAGCTCAGCCTCATCTAGACCTCGAAGAAGGCCGGAGTCTTGGACAGTAAAGTCCTTGTTCAATTGCTTTAGCATAGCAATGCGAGAAAAGATCAGGTCGATACTGATGCCATCGAACTCGAATTTGATGATTGGCACGAAGGCGTCGGCTACCACTGCCATATCGGTGATTGAGCCAGGAGGCGCCATTTCCTTCAGCAGGTTAGGGAAGATTTCGAAGTAGTCGGCTCGTGTTACGTATTTCGGAGCGACAACGAGAGTGTCGATATCGGAGCCAGGGCCGAAGACGCCCAAGCGAAAACTGCCATAGGTGAAGATCTTCCCTCTAGCGTCTCTAATGAGAGCTTCGTTGCCTGCCTCCCTTTTCCGTGCCACTCGTTTCACGAATTCGTCGCATATCCGCTCGAGGTGCGCAATGACTTCGTATCTATGGACAACCGCGAAGATCGTTAGCAAGAACAGATCGGGAATGACCGGGGGCTTGGTACGAAGACTTGCCTCTTTTGGGTATCCGCAGCGCTCTCAAAAGTATTTTGCTTCCTCAACTCTTCCATGAGCATTTCCTTCGCTTGATTTTCCGCCTCGGTGGGAAGAGCAGTAGAGATGGGCGGCGTCACGCCCAACGGTCTTTCCTCGCTAGCCATGGCTGATTGTTGCTTCTGGAAGAAATAGATGCGATAAGTAAATAGAGAAGGACAGGCTTAGCTGGAGAAGCGACGGTTGGGCGACCCTGGTGATGGAAGGAGGATAGCGAAAGAAGTAATAGAGAAAGGAAAAGGCTGTCAAGGAAGAAGCTTCCACTGCGAGAACAACCAAGCCGAAGTAGGTATCGCTGTGATAACTTAGCCCAAACTAGATGGTCACCAAGTGCCTTGCAGCTGGAGACCTGGTACCGTTCACCTCTAGGACGCGAGGCACAAAGGTCTGAGTGAGGCAAGGTACGGATGGGTAAGGTGGACAGTCAAGGTCCCGTTGTTGAAGTGGCAGGCTAGGAAAGCAGGCGCGTTTGCACAGTGGAGAATAGACCTAAGGTAGGCTGCTCTTCATTAGCCAATGAAAGGCGGCGGAACCGACCCACCCACTTTGGATGCTGGACAGTGGGCCACTGAGCGCCCAGCCCAGTGTGCCGATCAATGTTGTCAACGACTCAAAGGCCCTGGGCAGACCTCCATCACCATAGCGGCATGAGTACACGCAGGCTGTACAGTTCACAACTTCAAAGAATCCCATCAACTAAGGTACCCAGAGTGGCTAGTATTTTCTACTCTCCATACGAACGCCCAATAGGGTATGTACGCCCGATAGCTGCCATGATTTCGGGTGAAACGCCATGCCCAGATGCCACCGTTAGTTCGCTACTATGGTGACTCTAAACAAGCAACCATGCCAAACCGCCCAGGATCCCAATACCACCGACCATCTCCAGCGTCTTCCAACCCTGCCACCTAAAGTCGGCATTAAGCTGAAGCAAGCCCAAAGGATCCTGATGTCTTACAAGCCCCCAATCTAGGCCAGACCCTGTACTGTGTCTCCTCTTACGGAGAGACTGCCGACATTCTCCCCGTCCTCTTGTTCTCGTCAACGCCATATCTTCGCCGCCTGATGCTGAGCGGCCATCTCTCCAAGTTTCCCTCGACAACATAGCCGCCTGCTCCCATGCCCTGAGCTCTTGCATCCGTTTTTCGTTGGCCAGGCTGCGTTGTAAATCTGCCGCCCAGTTCGTGAGCTGCACTCGGCAGAGTCGTTCATTACAAGCAGCATAGTTTGGAGCGCGACTCATGGCAAGAGGAGTCAGTGATCCGGCCCTAGGACGCATCAACCACATATCCGTCGAGCCTTCTGACTTTGAGGCGAAGCCGGAGACGTTACTAGGCCCAGGGTGACGAGTGCGCCAACCCAGAAGCTTTGCTGCGGCAGCATGGCGAAGCCAAGTTGCGCCATTCACGCAGAATATGTTTTCCACTAACTGCGAGAGATCGGAGGGCACAAAAGGTTGCACATGCTCGGAGCTCATGAGCAGACTGGCGTCCATGACCTCTGAATCCGATCCTAACTCGCTAGAAGCAGCATATATGTGTTGTTCTCCTACGCCATCCGTCAAGGGATCGAAAGAGAACAGCCCGAGGCCAGCCTCAGCAAGTTGTTGGGCAATGTGCTTCTTAGCCGCTGCTGTCTGCTCTAATGTCAAAGTGTCGGCATGCGCAATGAGTGGAATAATATTGGTCAGTGCCTCCAGTTGACGGAGATAATGTATATCAGTCGCAGACAGACCTAAGATGATTTGAGTGTTTGTGCTTTCATTTCGTGATAGCGTAGTTTCTTACCTGAACTGGGAATCATGTAGAGCACCGCATCAACAAGCAAGCCGCCGCTTCCACTGATTGTTTTTAGAACATCGGGGTCTTCTAGACCGTCGAGACGGCTCTTTTGAAGGTATGATTCAACGTATTGTGAGACTTGGCCCATAGTATCCGTTGGCTATGATCTTGTTAGTCAATTCGAGGCTCGTCAGGGTGAATTGCTTGCAGAACATACGCGACATGTTTCCTGATATCCAGGCGTATCAACCAGACAGATGTTTCTGTCTAGAATTGTGTCCTCTAGTTGAATCGGACCAGGCGTAGGGGATGAAAAGGCCGAATCCTTCCACCAGGAGGGGTACGGTTTGGTGCTGGCTAAAGTCTCTGTGATTTGGAAAGTGCCCTGAGATATCGGAGGACTATTCGGCATCGTATTTGCTGGCAGGAAACCTTTGGACGCCATTGCCACTGGCACGGTAGGGTCGATGTGTACGATGTGCGAGCAAGATTGTGTTATAGTTCGGATCAAAGCGGTCTTCCCTACGCCTGAGAAGACACGTTTCATCAGCGAATGCTTTATTCTTGGAGCACAAGATCATGCAATACCTGATTTACCAGCTACGAGTAGCTTTAGCCTACCAAGGCCCTTTCCAGCTTCTGTGAAGGGTCTCCGACTAGGGACGTTGATGGTGGGCATAATGAACTGCTGAGCAACCTCGCCACTGTATATACTTTGGGGGCGACCAGCGTCCGAGGTTCCGAAGGCACTCATGACAAAGCTTTCCTGGTATTCCGAAAGCGATCCAGCTAGCGAGTTGGGCCGCGATGACGAACTGCTGATAGCAGAGCATGGTCCTGATACGCCATAGAGTATGGGAGTCATAGGTTGAGACAGAGACGGCGGAGGAGGTGTCGGTATCCCCGCCGACGAGGGGTTGCTGGTACAATTTGGCCGATGAGATACGGCATCATGGTGTTGCAAAGATGATGTATAACGCGAAGTGGGTGGTGGAGCTGTGCCAGATTCACGTCTCTGCGTTGATCCGTCGCTGGGGGTCGCGGAGGTAGCTTGTTTCCGCTGTTCGCGCGCCCGAGGAGCAGAAAAAGGATGCGATGGCAAGGAGGCTTCCATGGTAGCTTCGTCAGCGAGGATAAAGGACATGTGTGAGGCGGTACTCTGCGAAGCCGAAGCGATGTTTTCGTTAGCCCCATCACCTGAGGAGAGATTCCCCGGGAACGAGTCGCATCCAGCTAAGGGTCGCATGTCGACGCGACAGTATCATCAGATCGTTATTAATTGGAGCGTATATGGGGTTCACGTAAATTTTGGAAAGAGCTTCGTAGTAGGGCACATAAGCGCCACTTATGCACAGAGTAGCGTTGACGGAATGCCAGGCTGAGATAGTTAGTAAAGTAGGTGAGTAGGTAAGGTATGGAAGGTAAGAGGTCGGTTGTGTCGTTGACCGACGAGACGAGAGGGGTCTGATGGCGATAAGGTCATCCCGCAAGGGTGGAGAGGCGATAAGAGGCCCAAGTGGAGCGAGTGACTACTTTTGTACTAGTGCGGGGTGATAATGGAGACTGCCACGGGAAGCAGCTGGTCGGTCACCAGTCCCTTGCCCACGCCGAACCTGAGGTGAGAGCCGTTTTTTTCCTACTTACCTTACCGTGCTACCTACCTTAGGTAGGTAGTAACATTAACGCGCGCCAACCCTATCATAGGATAGGTACACGTTGACACGTCAAGAAAGAGATGCCATGGAGTTCCGCACTATGTACCATGATTAGGGGAAGTTTTTCCTTTGTTCGAGATCGGAAATCAAGTTGATTCCTCTTAAGCTTGTCTCAACTATAGCTTGAAAACAATATATTGGACCGGCATGAGGTAGCAAAAACTAGGAAGTAAGTGGTGGGGTCCCGGTCTCCTCTTCACGTCTCCGCAAGGTGCAAGGTCGACCGACAGGCTGAATGCGACCCAACACTAACCACGCCGCAACCGCACCACTATCTGTCGTCACTCCTTTCAGCTCCGACAATCATTTGAACACACACTTAGTTATCCGCACTGCACTATTGCTTGATCATACCATTAGCTGTCGACCACAACGCAAGCCATCCATCCCAACCATCCCGCATACAGAGTTTTCAGGCAACTTTACTCGTCGTGCGAGCCCCTATCGTAGCACACGTCTTGGGCTGGCGCGCATCGCAACTCTCTGTTTTCTCCTCTTCCAGTCAGCCTCGTCGACGACTGCCTCTACGATCCCAAGCCGAGCCTAAGAATCTTGTTTGTTGATTCTGTCGACACGGTGAACTTCTCCGCACTACCCACAATCTCAACATCGTTGCCAGCTCCATTCAGCAGACATGGACGGCAAGAGACACCCAAGCTCGTTCCAGCAGCTCGAGAAGCTTGGCGAGGGCACCTATGCTACCGTATGCCCTTTCAGTTCCACACTTCATGCGCGTAGAGACTGACTGTTTATTTGTAGGTGTTCAAAGGTCGTAACCGGCAGACTGGAGAGCTTGTCGCTCTCAAAGAAATCCACTTGGACTCGGAAGAAGGCACCCCGTCGACGGCGATAAGAGAGATCTCGCTCATGAAGGAGCTGAAGCACGAGAACATTGTCGCCCTCCACGATGTGATCCACACCGAGAATAAGCTGATGTTGGTGTTTGAATACATGGATGGAGATCTTAAGAAATACATGGACACCCATGGCGATAGAGGCGCCCTCAAGCCTCATCAGATCAAGTCGTTCATGTATCAACTGCTGAGAGGCATCGACTTCTGCCACCAGAACAGAGTTTTACATCGAGACCTGAAGCCTCAGAATCTCCTAATTAACGGCAAGGGACAGCTGAAGCTTGGCGATTTCGGCCTTGCTCGTGCCTTCGGCATTCCCGTCAACACGTTCTCGAACGAGGTGGTCACGTTGTGGTATCGCGCACCAGATGTCCTTTTGGGCAGCAGAACGTACAACACCAGCATTGACATCTGGTCTGCGGGATGTATCATGGCGGAAATGTACACCGGCAGACCACTGTTCCCTGGCACAACAAACGAGGACCAGATTATTCGTATCTTCCGCATCATGGGAACCCCAACCGAACGAACCTGGACTGGCATTACGCAATTCCCCGAGTACAAACCCACTTTCCAGATGTACGCCACTCAAGACCTTCGTCAGATTCTTCCTCAGATCGATCCTACTGGCATCGATTTGCTCCAACGAATGCTGCAGCTACGCCCCGAACTTCGCATCAGTGCTCACGAAGCCCTCAAGCACCCCTGGTTCAACGATATCGTCATGCAACAGCATCAGCAGCAAGCTTTGCAAGCACAAGCTAGAGCCTACCCGGGACAAGGGTCTTACGAAAATTACTGATTCTCGGGCTTCGAACCGTGGCTAGGCGCCCGCATGCATTTGTGGTTTATGCTTTTACGGGATCGGGGGTCTGCTATGCATTATTTGCATCGGCAGCAATGAGTTGCAACTTCATAGTGGAGGGTATGGCATTGTTGGCAGGCTTTGCCAAAGGGGCATTACGGGCGTTACTGATAACTTCGCTTCTTTTGGCGTTGTGTGCGGGAGCGAGGGTGATTATGACAGTCGCGAGTATCGCTCGCAACTAAGTAGTAAACAATGCAATCCAAGAGTCCCGCTTATTGTATATTTACAAAGTGTAGAAGATTGTACATATGGCGTGCCTTCTATGAGCCGCCATCCAAGTCGAAGTGTCATTATTCTTTGTTAACCAGGCTATCATCTACAGGACTCTTAAACTGCTTGTCCTCGGGTTCGCGCTCCCATGTCTCAGCAAGAGCGAATGCCGGGCTGTCACGAGAATATCCCGCACTGATCCTCAGCTCTTGCACCATGTCTCTGACAGTCTTGGCGACTTCTACACGCAGCTGGATCGCTTCAGGATGGTCCTTCAGGGACTCTGGTACTTCGCCGACGCTCAATGGTTTGCCTCGGGCCTCCACTTCTTTCTGCACGATACGCTTCCACTTTAGACGCTGCTCTCTGAAGGCCTCGCCCACTTCAAGAGCCTCGCCGTAAAAGACGCGAATCTTGGCACCGATGCGTGGGAGAAATCGCAGCCACTTCCTATCCTCCGGCATGATGTCTGAGAATCCGTCGATGAACATGGGAACGAGCTGGGGGGCCGGGTCGGATTCGAGGATCAACCGGGAAACACCCCACTTGAAATAACGGAGGGTTCGTTCAGGATTTTGATGCGTACAGCCTTCGGGGAACACGTGAACCCACGCGCCGTGCTTGCTTCTGTAGTAAGTGGGCGCGGAAAATACTTCGTTGTTTCCAGCTTCGAAGGCGGCTTTGAAGGGGAACAGTGCCCCGGGGCCGGATACTAAGCGGATGGCCTGGGTCATGGTGGGCTGGAATAATCCGCCATAGGGGGAGTGCAGCAAGCGATATGTCGGCAAAACCTGACCGAGGGTAAAGAACGTTTTGAAAGCGCTGCGATTTTGTTAGTGGAGGCCCCTCAATGTCCAGTTGAAACATGGGTGGTCTTTACCGGTTCTTGAAGCAGATGTCATGAGCACCCAGACCCCATCTCGCACTCAGGGGGTACATATTGTACTTGAGCGGCAGCACACCCCATATTAGGGGGTCGTCTAAACTATTGATTCAAGACGCGTCAGATCGGCACGAGAGACGGGTCTTTACTTTTGAAAAAACTAAATGAAAAAACTCACACGCTGATGTGGTTTGAGACTGCAATCCATAGTTGTCAGTTATAAGCTCATCCTCTTTGAGAGAATACGACAAGGATAAAGTACCAGTGATGAGACCACGTTCAGGAGTCTCGGCTCGACGCTTGTCCAGAACTTCTAAAAATCGAGCTTGGTTCTCGGTCTGGACATCATGAAAGGTGTATAAGAAGGCTCGAGAGATGGCACCAGTAAGGCCCATTATAGCCGAAGACGCCATGCGCCATGGTAGGCTTGGCTCACTTGGCCTCTCCTCCAAGGCCGTCATGTTTCTTTTCTACAAGTGTGGCGCGCGGGAAGACAGTCTTCGACCTCGCCGGCCCGAACTGGTGAAATGAGTGAAAGGGAGGAAAGTGACTGGGTGACAGTAGGTGGCACGGTGATTGGAGCGAATCAACCGCGTCATAAATCCACCTCTTCGGGCCAATGACGAACACGTGATTAGGAAAGGTAATTGACAAAAAATTCACACGCTGTGTATGAACAGTAAGAAGAAGATTGCATCAGCCATTGGCACTCCGAGTTTGGCTGCCGATTGGAATCCAAGATGAGAATCGAGAAAAAAGCTGTCTTTGCCTTACATTAGAGTGGGTCGCTATAGAGCATTCATCTCGCTAAGAGGGTAGACGCGCTCGATAAGTACATAAGTATATTTCAGTACCGCGAATACGGCTCACGACGCCTGGGCCATGTTCCCTGTCACTCTGACATGTCTTTCTGCTTTGCCTGGACAATGGTATCCTGGTCCGTCTCAACTTCCTTACCCACTCGTCTATCTCGTTACCTTACTTTAATACGAGGTAATTGCTTGACTTCTTCACAATCCACCACCTCATCCTTCAACTAAACCAGATCGAGAATCCAACGTTATCATTTAACAGAGCGTTCATACCACGGTTCCTATTTTGCTCAACTTTAGTAGATTTGTCTGTCTCGCCAAGTTCCTTGTCACAATCAACACCATGGCACACAGTAAGCCCTCAACCTTCAAGTACATCCCCTCATATGCATCTGTTCGTGGATCTGACTATCTATAGGCAAAAGAAACACGTCGCGTAGCGTCTTCACCTCTTACGAGCGTGATATGGCCAAGGCTGCATGGGCATCCACCTCAGCCCGTTTGTCTCGCGATTCTTTTCTCCCCTTTGGCTCTTGCTACCTCTGCCTTGAGATGGCTAGGGACCCAGTCTCATGTAGTCACGGCGACATTTTCTGTCGAGAGTGCGCTGTGGCCAATCTACTCGCGCAGAAGAAGGAAATCAAGCGCGAAGAAAAACTTCGGGAGAAGAATGAGCAGGCGACCTTGGAGGCGCAGGCACAACAAGATGCTGAAGCCCAAGAACGTGCCGTCAAAGATTTTGAGAGTATCCAAGCAGGGCTGAAACCGTCGGCTGCGGCAACGGCATCTTCATCATCCAGTCTATCGACCAAAATCGAGGGAGCCGACCCCAAGACCACCAAAGACATTCAGGTCACCAAGAGGAAGTTTGTGCTGGACCAGGATGAGTTGGACAGAATTGCCAAGGAGGATCGCACGAAGGCCAAAAAGTTGATTAAAGCTGAGAAAGTATGCTACTATCTACCCTTAGACCCCGATTACCCAGCTATGCCATGCTAACTCTTTCTAGGCATCCAAGGAGAGTATACCGTTCTTCTGGACACCAGGGCAAACACCAGATGCCAATGCAGCTCGTATGGCGGAAGGTTTGGCAGCCGCTCCCAAAAAGATTAAGCTGGCGCCCATCTGCCCGGCTTCGGTAGACGAGTCTCGGCATTCCTTCTCACTCAAGAGTCTCACTTCGCTCGAATTCAAAGAAGAGCTCGACACCAAGACCAACTCCAGCCGGCGCATTTGCCCGTCCTGTGTCAAGACACTCGGCAATGCCTCGCGACCTCTTATGGCCGAAAAGTGCGGTCACGTCATTTGCCGCAATTGCGCTGTGAAGTTTATGACACCGAAAGAAAATGCATGCTATGTGTGCGATGCTAGGCTTCCTGCGGCCCGCCCAGATAGCAAGCACAAGGAACCTAAACAGGAATTTGCCGGGCTGATAGAAATCAGGTCCGAGGGCACTGGGTTCTCTGCTCGGGGAGCAAGCAAAGTTGAGAAAAGCGGCGTCGCTTTCCAATGCTAATGCAGTCGTGCTCATGACCTGCATAGCACGGTTCATGTGAATTGGCAAAGGCACCGTCCAAAAGCTGTTCATCGGCATGACTGTCTTGTATGCTCTGGAAGGCTCTCTCAGAAACAGTCACGCAGCGCCGAACCGTCTTAGCCTCGAAACCACGGGAAAATGAACAGATGTCATTTCATCGAAGTCTGAGGAAAATTCGTCTCAGGTGCTGCAACTTGATATCGCGCGACTGTCTCCGTGACAAGGACACCAATAGAAGACCAAGGCGGATTACGAAGGTGTGAATGACGCCTTTGGATACCATTGTCAGGCCATGGCTGAAGAAGCTCTTGAGCACCTCGCCCTGAAGCCCGGCGTACAAGGCCGTTATTCCGTCGGTTCTGGCGATGGACAAGACAATGGCGAGCACGCTATTATCGAGCGCCTCCTTCGTCTTGGCTAGCGCACCTGGACTAGAAGGCTCCTTGCTGAGGTCCTCAGCACGAGGTCTTTCTTGGGAATCGGTGCTCCTCCGCGGCGAAGCAGTACTGCGCATCTGCAGTCTGGCCTTTGCGGTCTGTATGGGGTAACTGATGATGGTCGCAATAGACTTGCTCGCAGCAGCGAGGAGGAATGTAGTGTGCGTGTTGTGCAAGGCTTCGTCCGAGTCCGGGAGTAGAGTCTTTCCCAGCTTTTTGTTGAGGAAGAATGTGATGCTGGGGTTGATGGTCAACAGCAATGATGCGGAATAACCGGCCCAAAGACCAGCCACGCCGTTTTCTGCGCGAATTAACGAGAGAATTTCCCACACCGATGCGTCCCCGCCCTCCTCGTTGCTTTCGATCATTGCTGATGTCTGTTTTCTCGCAACCACGTTCGCAATTGGCGTCGTGCAGGCTCTTGCACAGGCGCCCGCCAATGCGCCAACGGCCAACTCGTCCAGGACCGACAGTCGTTTCCCACGCGAGTGCCGGCGCGTGCCTCGAAAGTACTCGTAAAACAGAAAGAAGAGGAACGAGTCCGCGATGGACTTGAAAACGTCCTGGGCGAGACCCGTGTAGAGGGCTGATATGCCGCCTTCTTTCGCCGTGATGGCTCTCATGGCTTGCACCACGCCTTTGTACTGGTCCTTTTCGGAGATCGCATCTTCGCTTCGCAGCTGCCGCTGGACTTTGAGGCGTGTGGTGACAAGGTCAAGGGGATACACTGCAGCTGTCGAGAAGGCAGTTCCAAGGGCGCCTGCGAGGGCGTGGCCCAAGGCATCGAGGACGCCTGCGGGCGCCATGGTCTTGTGGGAGCGCTATACGACTTGAAAGGACAAATCAATTGGATTCAACTATGAGAATAAGAGGTTTTGTAGGAGTAACTAGAGAAGCGTCGATGTAAGAGATACTGTAGGTTGGCGCGCTGCAGTAGATCCTTGTTGTTCTCCTCAGCGTGTGTAGCCGATATGCAAGTTAGGACGTATAAAATGTAAGTGGTAAGGGGGCGAGATCAACGAGCATGAAGATCGAAGACGACGGCATTTCCTTCT